AGGTTTGTATAAGAGTGAGTCATATCTTCCCATTGTAGCAAACTAAAAGCATGAATACAAATCTAGTTAGCTGAGGATAGAGCAACAGCGACATGGACAGGAGGACCGGGGGGGGGGGGGGGGGGGGGGGGGGGGTGACTGGTGATGCCTGAGATCTAACACTATTGCCAGAACAAAGTTGCCCCCTTTAATGTTTAAGTGCCCTTTGCCGAGACCTGATAATCATGCGAAATCTTCAGAACCTGCAACCCATCGTGAAAATTTACTGCTTGGCCACATTACCCTGAAAAGTCTGCGCACGTCACTGATGAAACTGCAAAACTATTAACCCTAAGCAAAAAACAATGGGAGGGGGAAAAAAATCAGTGTTTAAGTATAAAAACAGATAATAAGCAGAAGCTGGTGATTCTGTTTGGGAATATTCAGATAAAAAGCACTGACACATTTATTCAGCTGGTTAGGGTATACTTAGTTTCAGGTATGGTAGCACATCTACACTGACGAGGGAGATTAATGCTGGCAGAGGTGACCAATATGGAGAAAGATTCCGGTCAGAGACTCTGGCCCCAGCCAGGAATGACTTTAAGGTAGGGTTTATTTAATGGAACTAAAAGAATCAGGATATGAGATGTTTTATGGAAGTACATTATAGTGAGGGATTGTGGATGTGTATGGTGGATTTAGGTATGGGCGGCATGGGCAGCCTTCCAGGGCAGCATATTGGTGGGGGCAGCGCGGGGTGCACATTAAAAAAAAAAGAGAGTCGTGAGATTTGCATGATCGGTTTTCTATCTTTCGCTTGCATGTCACATCAGTGATATAATGTCACTGTGAGGGTCAGTTAACCTTGTCAGAGTGGGTGACCTGACTGACTGACTGACTGACTGACTGTGACTGACTGACTGACTGAAAGAAACACTCTCTTCCTACTGGAAGCTGAACCAGTCGGGTGTCTGGACCTATGTAAGATTTCTCTCCAACCTTCACTGAGGCAGATCGAATCTGTCCAATTGCTCTGGCAAAGGTGTTGTGATGCCACCCACTAGCCAGTGGGTATGTGGCACCTGAGGGTCAACTAAGAGAACAACTTGACCCATGTTAAGTGTTTTGCTGCCAACTCCTCACTCATGATGATGCAGTCCTGGTAGGTAGTAGCGAATGAAGGCTGTCCTGAAGTTATCTGCCAACACTTTTCTGTGTCTCCATGGCCTTTTACCCAGCATGTTATTGGAAGAAGGCCTGAAGAAGAGCAGAATTTTGTTGTGCCATGAGTAGGATGTTATGTGTTATTGGTTCTAGGTTAGCTGGGTCTGCAAACACATAATCCAAAGGTTTGGAATTCAATATGTTCCCGACTGCGATGAGGACCTTCTGCAGGACTGAGTCTGGCAGTGACTCTACTCTTGAACGATCACCCTCAACCCCGACTTCACTGACCTCACCCCTTGTTCACAAGCCCCTCCGAAATGAGAGGCATCTGGAAGATTGAACCTGAAGCGGATTTTCTACTCAGCTAGCTGTTCCTTCAGCTGAGACCGCATCACCTCAAAGGCCTCTCACAGCTCATGATCTCTGTCAACAAAATTGGTATAAAGGAATCTGAATGGCTGATCCCTTCACACTATAAAGTAATGCAAGGAGAGCAGAAAAGAAGATCTAAGTGCACACATCTTGGTCATATACTTATATAATCCCCTTCACATCTCCTGGCAACACCCGTACTTCATAATGAATGGGTCGAAACAGTTGATGCCAATGGAGTTGAATGGAGGCTTGCATAGCCACAGCCTGCAAGGTGGAAGATCAACCATCTTCGGTATGTCGGGCTCGACTCACCAGAACCAACAGTCCCTACCTGTGTGCTGGTATTATTGCAGATAGCCTTATGTCCTTAGAGTACCCAATACTTGTGTAGAAGTTCTGCCAGCACACACTCAGATCCGGGATGAAATAGCTTGGCGTCAAATTCCTTAATTGTTATCAGATAATATGTAGGCCTACCTGTAAAAAGCAGAATCAGAAATGCATATACAAGCTGCAGTGCTAAAAGAAAATTTCAGCGAAGTAGCCTACTCTGTGACAGGTTTGTGAAACGATATTTGTTAGGATTAGATGGCAGCGTACGATCAATGACAGTAAGACAGCAAATCCTTTCTCACGTATGAATAAAATGCATCTACAGTCCCAGCTATTAAATGAAACATACAAAAGAGAAATGGCTTCTTGCATTAAAAGATCCCATTAAGCCACCATCATGCATGTCCTTCAAGTAGTGATGTGATGTTTGCGAGTCCCTTATAGAACTATACACTCAAGTTCACTTCCCTGCTTGTCCACAGAAATATGACATGAATGCTGCTTCCCTCCTCGACTATGGCCAGTGAGAGTCAGTGAGACATGCAAGGGCGTGCTGTAAGGGAGCATATGATTGGCTGGAAACTAAACCGGGGACTGAACATATATACCCCTAAAGAACAAGGGATAACTGTGAATGTGAGACTTTCTCTCCCAATGACTTGAGTGAGTGGATGAAGCAGAAATTGGTCATGACTGATCAAGAAACCTGAAGTAGTGAATGAGTTAGTAAGTGACTGGGTGAATGAGAGTGACTTTCTATGATGAGCTCTGAGATAGATTTGAGTTCGTAACATTAGTAGCTACAATGTTGTCAAAAATTAGACTATAATTAAATAGCAAATATTATTTCTCTCATGTGACTTATTGGTGGTATTTAACTTACATCTTACACTATTTTGTTACAGGAGGGGGCATGGCGCATGTGGGGGGGAAAAACGTGACGATCCACTTGCGGTTCTGAGACAGAGGGGTCTCTTTACAAAACGAATCACCCTAACCAAAACCAAAAAGACCAGGAACACGCCAGGGGACAGAACTTCTCACACATAGTAACACAAGTCACAGAGTAACATCTCACAATGACCAACCAGGGAAATGAACAAAGGCAGGCACTTAAATACACTGATAATGAGGACTAACAAAGGGCAGGTGTGAATCATCAAAAGCAACCAATCAACAGGGGCACAGGACAAGACACGAGCAAAGTAGCTAATGCTAATGTACACAGAACTAAGGAACGTACAAGACCTGAAACAAAGGAAACACATGGAAAATCTACACTAGAAGAAAAATCAAGAACCAAGTAAAACAGAACATATCCAAGGCAGGAGCAGAGAACCAAAAACAAGACAAATTAAACATGGGGATCAACAATATCAAACAGCCAACAGATGAGGATGGCTTCTGGGCAGCCTCGAACCCACAACCACCAAAGGGGAATGTGAACAGCAGCCCACCCCTTATCCTGTTAAGCCACAGAGTGGCCAAGGGGAGCAGGTACCTATACTAGGGATTAAGTGCTGCACAAAAGAAGAGGGAGCAGGATGGCCAGCAAAGGGTATAAGAGACGTAGGACAGGGACAGATGGGCACCGACCGCGACACTATTTAGCCTAAATAATAGGCTTTTTTTTACATAGCGGAACACAGGTGTTTCAGATCTGTTTTATGCAAACAGGAAATGCCAGTGAACGAGTTGGAGAACAAATCAGAGCGAATCTTCCAGGTGAGCTGAATCAAAGTAACTGTGTCCCAAAAAGCAGTCATTTTGCCCATCCTTACCTTTAAGTGCCGACAAATTCCCCTAGTTTCCGCTATTTGATCATCTTGCATTTTTGTGTTAACATACCGCTTAACGCAGGATTCTAATGGATTATAATGGAGCCATTGTTGCTCTGTAATGATTAACTAGCTTAGGAACAAAGTCGAGCGAAATGTAAGGCGGCTGTCAGTTTATCCAAAGCCAGTATAATAAAATGAACTGCATTCTTATTAATTCAGACCTAGCCTCCTCATGTAATGCAAATTCAAACTGAACGGCAATACCCCACGCTCTATGTTTAATATCATATTCAATACAAAACATAACATGTGCATGCAGACATAGGGCTACAACTTTAAAAACATCACCTCCGTTATTTATGTATTCTAATATATGGTAACGCTTTACAATAACTGCAGCTTCATAATGCCTTTATAATACATTCGTAGAACATTCCTAAGCAGCACGTGAGCGTGCCTTAACATCGTAACATACCTTAACATCGTAACATACCTTTAATAGCTTTGATATAGGCTACATTAATAACAAATATTATATAATAATAACAGACATAACCGTATAATCATGTAATGTTTGTTATTAATGATAAACGACTTTACATTCATTCCCTGCCAATACATTTCTTTTTTTTTAAAATGCTACCCCACTGAAATGTAGGCCTATAGGTTTCTGGTGGTATACAACCACATGCAAAATTAAACGGATACCTCCATTTAATGTTATTTTGATAACATAAATCCTTATGTAAATGTCCATTAAAAAAACAATGGGTCGGATATGTTGACAAAAACTGACGAATATAACTAAAAAATTCTGTTGTGGTAGCAAATTCTGGCAAGGAAGCAAAACAATGGCAGAACATCGGTATCCCGAGTTGGGAGGGTAAACGCGAATGGCCATGGAAACCCGGCACCCCGCGATACGAAGAAGAGATGAGCCCAGTAAATGAATTTAAAGTACTGTATTAATTTACACTTTGAGGCGGCTCAATGTTTTGTGTGTCTAAAACCTGCCGAAATCCCAAATCAATTGAACTGCCCTGTCCATAGTTATTGGCCCATTTATGCTGGGATGCGGGAACACGACACACATCTGCGAGAACTGGTGATTAGATTGAGGGGGGGGGGGTCCCTTACCGGGTGTGGAGCAGCAGAGGAGGGGAGAAGAGAGGAGACTAACAGGACACACTGAAGCACCTATCAACAGAGAACCCCGGGTACAACATTTGAGAGGCCTCCAGACCACGTTAGCCTACAGACACACAACTGAGGAACAGGTGAAATCAATTAAATTAATGCTTGGACTTAAGTTCTGGAGGAATGTGTGATATACAGACATAAACACACAGCTCTACACAGGGAATTTGTAAAGTCAGTCATTTTATTCGTAAACTTTTGTAATAAAAATGCGTTCAACTGTACAGTAAAAACATTTGTACATGTTTAAAAGTACACGGTTTCATGTATTTTATGCTAAATACATTTATACAGACTGATTGTAAAAATCTGTTAATACTACCTAAATGTAATATATATTTCTCTTTTGCGTGTGTCATTTGATTGTATTTACAGTACAGTCACACTTTCAATCTGGCAGCAATGTGTGCTACGTGCTCAGCTACAAAGCTGTAGTAGATTGCTTATCAATTCACAATAGTCACATTCGCGAATACTCCGTCCCTAGTGCCCAGAGCCCCCGGACATTTACAAGTTCTAATGAACTACTAGAAACATATATTTATTTATGGCAATTCCTCTAATACGATTGATTTTGACTTCTTTTTCAGAAACAGTATTGTCCGCGCATGGTTGACGTGGGAAAATAGTAAACTGGCTGTTTTGTTTTGCAGCATTGAGTTAGGACAAACTGCATCCAGCTTCGCTAAATTACAAATTCATTAAAATTACTGCATCAAACCCCCTACATTCATTAAACCTGTATACATAGGCCTAGCCCCCGTGCTACAATCCACGGGCAAAATATAAAAAAAATCTGTTAAAAACATATAAACTCATATATACACGCCATTAGAAAAAAATCCAATAATCAATACAAGCATTTATTTGACATTGATTCAAAAGATTTCACATATGATATGAAGTATGTATCCAAATAACAAAATTCAATAGAAATATAAATTGTTTAAGTCAACAAAGGGATTTTTTTTCATATCCTGACAGGAAGGATCTGTTTATACGTTTATTCTTTACAATCTTTCAGTTTTTTTTCTTTCTCATTAAGCAGTCAACTTTCTGCGGGTGGTGTCGCCATCCAATTTAAACAAACGCGTTGTATAAGAACAGTGTCATGCGATTCTGTAACATGGTTTTATCACGCAAAAAAAAAAAAAAAAAAAAACACACACACACACAAACACACGAGTAAAAAAACACCAGGTATCACAAAGTCCATCCAAGCTCCATAAATAATCAGTGTGGCGTCGCGCAATTCGGTGCTCATCGTGTGCGTGTCCCCCAGCGGAGCTGTCCAGAGAGGCGGGTCCTGAACTCCCACCCACGCCTATGTGGGCTTTGAGAGAGCATCTTCACAGCCCCGCAGAAACTTTGAGGATACAAAGAATGGCTGACACTTAGCGGTATATTTTAGGACTTTTCTGACACCTTCATATTCCTTAGGATTGCTTTCCAGGCAGTTGCTGCGTCCCGACTTTATAGCCTTGATACGTCGGGGAGACTTGGAGCTCCGTGTGCAAAGGGCTCCATCACATCCTCCCGGGTGCCGCAAAGGAGCAGGCTGCGAGGACCTGCGCTTTCATCTCCATCTTCTCCTTCTGTTTGAGATGCACTCGTCCGTGCCGCTTCCTCTCGTCGCTCCTGGCAAAGCGTCTCCCGCAGACCTCGCAGGAAAAGGGCTTCTCCCCCGTGTGAGTCCGGGTGTGGGTGGTCAGATGATCGCTGCGGCTGAAGCTCCGCAAGCAAATGCGGCAGTGAAAGGGTTTGTGGCCAGTGTGGATGCGAATATGCCGGTTCAGCTCGTCTGATCGTGAGAAGCGTCTGTCGCAGCTTTCCACCGGGCACATGAACGGCTTCTCCTTGGGGGGAGCGTGTGGGTTTGCGGGGGTTTTTCTGATGCGTGTCGTCTTTTCCCTACGCCCATCACCGGAGGCAGGAGCGGAGAAGAGAAGCGCGTCTATCCCGACCGACAGTGCCGAGGAGGTGCAGGAGATGCCGCGCTGATCAGCCATCATCTCAGCACTGCGATCAGCTTTCACTGCATGACTCGCGCTTTGCGGGTAGCTTCTAAAACTTTGTGCGCAGTTGGATGCGAAGCAGCGCTCCTGTTTAATAGCGGCGTCCGGCTTGAAGGCAGATTGTGAGGCAGGACCAGCAGGAGCTAATGCGGGGACAAAACCTTTATAATCCACCCGGTCGGGTCGCCTTTCCGTCGCTATTCCGGTCCCGAAGCCCAATGGCAAATAAGTATGTGGTTTACAGAAATGATCCCATTCATAGCAAGTGTTTTCATATTCATTCTTGACAACGACTGGAAACGTGTCTGGCACCGGCGGCCTCTGAGTCTGGTATTCGTAAGCATGAAAGCCAGGCTGCACCGCGGAGGGGTCCTGCAGGCCCAACACCATTGCGGGCTGAGTATGGCAATTTTGCGTGGGGTGAGGAGCGGTGCCCCCCGTGCTTATGGACCCTCTGCCCGGCAAGTTCTCGTCGCGGATGCTGTCAAGCGGCTGGGCTGACGAAAGTGACATGTGCACATCGGAGACGGACAAGGTGCTAACACCGACTATCTCTGTGATCATGCTGAGGAGGGACTCGCTGCTGCATGGCGGTCCCTGGGAGCCCTCCATGTAGAAGCTGCCGGAGTAGGCGAAAGGAGAACCAGGATCGTCTTCGGCGCCTCTGCTTGGGTCCAGAAAGAAATCCGACGCCTCGGTTTTCTGGTTTATTTGTGCACCATCTGCAAAAGGAGACACGTGTTGGGAAATTTTGCAACTGTTATGTAATGAACTAATTCATTCATCATTACTGTAATTTACCCATCCGCGCCACCTGAATATTGTGCGATTGCACCTTTAATACCGATGAAAGCATATAGCCTATCTAATTTTATACTGAAATAAAGTTTTGAAAGGTAAGAGGACCAACCTTGAGTGAACTGAATAGGCGATTCTCTTTCCTTGCAAACCTTCTCGGTCTCTTTCGATCCAATACTTTCAATCCCTAACGTGGGACTGCAGCTATTCTCAGAGTTACAGGGGAAATATTCGAGAGAAGCGAAGTCCATGTTGGCCAGCATATCGTCCGCTTTCCAGGAGCCGGTTGGCGAATAACTGTGCGATGTGTCCTGTCCCTGGGCGCCGGTACCGCCGCTGTTACTGTGTGAGGGATTCCCCGGTTTCACGGCGGCGCTTCCCGGCTCCTCTCCTTTTATACCCTCCGGCTCGCAGGATTCCCCGCTGCGTCCTGCCTTTCAGCGCCATGCCCAAAGATGGACAGAGGATGTGACGAGCGTCGCCTTAAAAGGAGCCGCGGTTCCGTGACGCGCCCAGCCACCGGACCAGCTTCGGCTCTGAGTCCCACTGGTCACTGGCAGTGGGATTCCAGTGCAGCCCCGTTAAACGCGATCAAATGCAAGCAGCTCCAGCTTTAGGATGGACACGCACTGAGAGACATTTCAAAATAGGCTGGGAAAACCAGCCATGTGGGAACGGAAGGTATTGATACCTAGACGCAAGACATAAAATAATATGATTTTGTAACGTACCCCTTCTTATTGAGCGACAAGTGTGCTGTACGCAGCATTTTGCATAGAACTCACAGTGAAAAGCACGTACAGCGAAGCCCCTCTGTAGTCCTCTTTTTTTGGGGGGGGGGTAGATCGGGGTGCCGTTATTTTAATACGTGGCTACGTCTTTGATCTCTAAGCATAGCATCCTTGTAGGCATTTTTAATCGCATTCCAGGTGTTGCTGTGATGTTACCTACACGCTGCTATTTACAACGTAATAAGGAAAGTATTACTGCATTAGTAATATTTAGAATTTGAATTTCCATTAGAGTTAAAATGAGCAATTACTGGTCCCAGAGGAAATTTCTAAATTCTGATCCTGGGACATACGTTTGCTACGTTAGACATGTACAAGATTTTAACATGCAAATGTTAATTTTATATAAGGTATTCATCTCATCATTCTCTCTACATATTCGTGTGTATATGTGTTTCATTTTGGAACAGAATTAAACCAGAAAGGCATCAGCAATTCACAGTTTTTGTCATGTTATGAAACAGTCTGACAGTAGAAGCATGCTGTCTACTATAAAATAGGCTCACGAAATGATGACTTTCTGCATCCTCTGTAGAAAAGACTACATCAATTTAGCCAAATGTCACTTTATGAAGTGAGATGGCTGCATTTATTTTAAGTATAAAACAGAATAGGTTTATGACAGTCCACTCAGTGCCATTTTAAAATTTTCATGGTAATTTTTTGGCTAAATGTCAGACACCGTTTTGAATTCAGTGCTCTCTGCATGAATTAGATCATGGTGCAATATGGCTATTAATAAATCTCTTTGCTTGGTAATCCATCCATCATCCACATCCACTCATGTAGTATAGTGGGGGGGGGGGGCTTTCCTAAGTTGCATATGGCACAAGGCAGGCAGGAGGGGGGCATGGTGGATGGACCAGTGAATCACAGGACAGACACACACACATACAGACACACACACACACACAATCACTGACACACGGAGACACACACATACACACACAAACACTGACGCACAGACACATACAGACACACACACACTCACTGACACATGCAGACAGACACACACACGCACACACAAAGACACACACAGACACACTGACATACTAACACACAAATGCACAGACACACACAGACACATAGATAGACAGACACACATATAGACCATTTACAGATGCCAGTTCACTTACCTGCTTGTCTTTGGACTGCAGGAAGAGCCTGGATTTCTTGAAGGGATTCCCAAGACCACAGGGACAGCAGAGAAAAGCCCCCAACCCTGCAGGCATGAGGCTGCCAACTGAGCCAGAGTGGAACAGCCAGAATACATTTCTAAATTCAATGTTTTACTGTCCGTAGTGCTGAAGAGCTTAAAAGTATGATTTTGAAACTTTCCTTATTTGAATGTGATGTGGGTTTTTTGATTTTGCTCTTTTTAACAGCAAAATAAGTGCATCAGTCAATATGGCAGTGCTGAATGTAACGTTTTAATAAGAGTGCTGAAGAACAGGTCAGTGCTTGTGAAGTGTTAAGTAATAACAAGCGTGGCCTGTCAAAGTGCCAGCATGCGGTTAGGGGGCGCTGTGGCTCTGGTGCCCACCACGCTTGGCTCTCTGTGGTGACGGCCGTCAAATACGCCCAGGCCTTAGCTGGGGGCTCCACTGTGAGAGTAGGAAACGGCCCTTCAGGCCTGCCATTCTCACTGGTACGGGGCGTTGTTAAAAAATGGAAAAAATAAAGCAAAAGAAAAAGCAGTGGTTCAGCTTTTACTCAGGCTGCTGCCCATGTAGCGTTATGGGCACGCCGCGGCCAGGGGACAGAGGGGCGGGGCCTCGGCCGCTGCCCCTGTGGCGTTATGGGCACGCCGCGGCCAGGGGACAGAGGGGCGGGGCCTTGGCCACTGCCCATGTAGCCTTTTGGCCGATTCAAAAGTCCGGATCAGCACTCTGGTTTTGGCAGCGGAGCCCCTGTTCTCCCCTTGGAGGTGAATCCTGGTGAACGCGTATCGGAGGCGGTGGGACTCTGCGCTTGTCAGGACTTAGCAGTGTGTAACACTCCTGTTTCATTATCATTGCAGCACCCACACCGAGGGGCTGTGCTGCTTCATAACTCACACTGCGCCCCTCCAGCACAGCCTGTCAGGACCTGCCATTGGTCATGTTCTCCACTGACTTCCCTTCTAGACTATCTTCTGGAGATCAGGAGATTCAGCTACGTCTCACCCTGGATTGTGAATGACGTCCTTCCCCAAACACCTGTACTGGGTCTCTGCTAGGTATGGATTATTGTTGTTAATATGAGCAAAAAAATGCAAAGTAAACTATGTTAAATAGAATATAATTTTACGAATTATGGATGATTCAGTTAGAAATAAATGGTTCTCAGGTTTTATGGCAAATGGAAACACACTATGGCAGGTCCTGGCAGCTGAGACTCAGAATAAAGTTTTATAAATGTGTGTTTAGTGAGGCGTTCCCCCAAAGACAAGCAGAGCTGCCCAGCGCGGTTTCTATGGCAGGACGGCACACGGCGCGGGAACGCCCCCACCCGCATTCCTACCGGCTTCCTCACACCTCAAACCCGCGGCGTCTCATTCATGTGCGCCTCCCATCCCCTCACAGGCAACAATGGAACTTCTGACAGCCCAGAACACGGCTGAGAGGCAGACCCTCTGCCGGAAGCGCGACCAGCTATAAATACCGGCGGCCGTGTGAGCCAGCGGCCGCATGCGGCATCATATGCCCGCGTGTGAATGGCGTGCGGAAGCGGCCGTGGGCCGGCGCCACGGTGACACCGTGCCGGTGTAGGTGTGAGTCAGGGAAGCCCGCATCGGCGCCTGTCAGCAACGGCTTCCCCAGCGCCAAAATAACTCCCCCCACCCTGGCCTGTCACTTTGGGCTCCCAAACAAGAGGATTCGGTGCCTCTCCCTTCCTCTTCGTGACTCCCCCCACACAAAGGAGAGCTCTGGGCGGATGAGCCGTCCTCCTGGGAATTAAAATCCAGAACATTCCGGTAAAACGAGTGCCGCAGCCCCTGGCTGGTAGGTCTCGGTGGGTCCCTGCAGATCAATGTCCCATCACAGTCACACAACTGGTTAAGTCTCTCAGGGTGATAATAATCATCTCAGGGCGATAATAATGAACATTTAGGGGTTATCAGTCTACTTTAAGGCTTAAAGCATTTCAAGCATATGGCTGCATTTCAGAGAGAATACAAAAATGCCATCCATCCATCCATCCATCTCCTAACCATTTTCCTGGTTAGGCCTATAGGGAAAATGCTGGAATGTGTAAGTTACATAGATTAGTTTATTCTGTGCTGAAATACATAATGTGTTCTCGACAAGAAAGAACGGTTCTAAAATTAGGTTCATTACACTTCGTTGTAATTCAGTGTTTGAGAGCCATTTGCCGATGAATCACTGCTTGTTATTGAGGAGCGCTTTCACAGACGCGCCTGTTATCTAAGAGCACAAGCGCCGACTCCGGTAAGGAAACACGCCAGGATGGAAGCACACAGCGATGACTGGAAAAGCTCAATGCCTCCAAGCAGCAGAGGAACATTCAAGCAAAACGTGGCGACAGGTAACGTACAACCTGTGAGCATAAGTGATGGTGTTATTATATAAGGCCGGAGTCCGCAGAAATCATTTCAGGTTTCACTTTATGCAAAGTATTAGCAGAACTGTGTTACACCTCCTTTTGTGTGTGAACAATATTCTTGTTATCCCATCACTGGAAAGATATTACATTTAAAAAAGCATGTATGATAATGAAACAAGACTTTGATCTTCAAGTATAAAATTAAAAATATAGATTTTCCCAGCAGGCGAAGACTTTAAATACTGAGCTTTCCACTAAAACCAGTAACTATGGCAACGGTTGGCTGGCACGGCCGTTTCCGCTGTGCTTAAAAAAAAACTGGAAATATCAGCAACTGGGTGCAAAAATCTGAAGAATGCAAAATAGCATGAGTGAAGGGTTCACCCTCCCATGGACATACTGAGAGGGATGTGTGGACAGGGAGAGCCAGTGGTGAGGATGCGTCACCCTCAGTCGCAGAGCAGGGCAGGAGCAGTCATGTGACCTGGACAGGCATTCTGCTCGACCAGCATGGAGAGAGGGGGGGCACTGCACATTCTCCCTGTGTTGGGTGGCTCGTGAAGTGAATGAGGGGCACGTACGTGGCTACCTACGGCGTAGGGTACAGCATAGGGTACACGGCTACCTACGGCGTAGGGTACAGCATAGGGTACGCGGCTACCTACGGCGTAGGGTACAGCATAGGGTACGCGGCTACCTACGGCGTAGGGTACTGCATAGGGTACGCCGCTACCTACTGTGTAGGGTACAGCATAGGGTACGCGGCTACCTACGGCGTAGGGGACTGCATAGGGTACATGGCTACCTATGGCACAGGGCTACCTAAGATGTAGGATACGTGCCTACACGGGTTCCACGTCTATGGTCTTGCCCTGACTCCTCGCCATGGTAACGGGGCCTAGCGGGCACCAAAGCCTTGGCTCTGGGACGTCAAGCAGCATCCTTTGTCTTTGGCAGCAGCCTGGAGTCAGACTCCCCTCTGCGTCACACCCTTGGAGATGCGTCCTTCTCTGGGCATATGAGCGGCCAGGCTCCTCCCCTTTCCACCAGGGCACCATTGTCCCCAACGACCACACGGGGGCCTGAGGCACCCTTACTCTGAAGGAGGATCAGGGCCTCCATGGGGAAAAGGAGACCATCACAGCAACTGAAGATTCATCCTGGGGCTTTCAAAGCTGGTCTCTGGTACCACTGCACACAAGTCCCTGACAACAAGGCAGGGAGAGGCCCTCAGATTGCTGTAGGTCACCTGTATGCCGTTTTACTTCACGATTCGTCTCCACTGGTTTTTGTGTCGAAGAAAGAGGCAGCGTCATACCACATCGAGCTGCGACAATTAGTAACGAAGGGTTGTGTAACGTGACGAACTGCGCAGCGGCGCCGAATTAACGACAGAGCCACGCCGAAGACTGATGCAACCTTTTATTGAAGGTATTACAACGTCCACCCTGTAATGCTGCAGAAATGCCGAGGGCTGCTGGAACAAGACAGCAACGCCGCAGAAGGGATTCCGCAAGGCTTCGGTCGATAGCTGAACACATGAGATCAAACGTGAAACAGGGAAATGAACCGGAAAAAACAGCTGAACATAACCAAAGAACCCAAATGGGATAAATGCGCTTGGTGCCATTTCATTTGGTGCTCTGACAGCATTACTGACCATTTAGATCACCGACTAAAATGGTGCCATTTGTTCTTTTTTGAGTGGGATCACTGGCTTCCTGAGAAGAGAGTGTGACCCCGGGAGCAAGGGGGGGCATAACCGTGACCATCAGGGCTTGCTGGCCCTCAGCTGCATGGGCGGGTCCACAGCAGCAGTGTTGGCACACATCAGATACATTAATGCTATGGGGGGGCCCCGGTCATACTGGAATAACAGTGGCATCATCTGTCACAGGGCTGATCCCAGGTCAGCTGCAGGCCGGGGTCTCACATTTTGCATATACTGTAGTGAACAATGCGGATCATTATAAGAGAAAATCCAGGAAGCTAGCAGGTTGATCGGCCCCCCATCCCCAACCCCTGTGTCCTGTGAGAGCACCTCAGACAAAGTCAGCAAGAAGCCAGGTGAGAGACGTGTGCGGCACCCCCAAAGCGCTCGGGGGAGGGGGGGAGAGGGAACGACAGACAAAAAGAGTGGTGGCGTGCAGGCAGTGTTCCCGCTGAAGATCCCAGCCACGCGACACTCCAGCACCTCACAGGAACCTCAGTGCTTGATCACGCCGCCGTCACCCTCACTGACAAACCGCTTCCGCCCCCTAGTGGAGACAAACACACCTGCTTAGGTGTGATCAAGAACAGCAGCAAATAACTGGCTTAGAAGCAGGAGGACACTGACCGGGAGGGACAGGCGTCCCTCAGCTGTTTGGTGATGACCGCTTCCTGGTAGCATACGTCCACGAAGCTCTCCATGATGCTGTGAGCATGGGGCACATCCAGGTTGATCTCTGGCAGCTCATCGTAGACCCGCTGGAAGCCCTACGGGGGCAGGGTGGGGGAAACGGGACACTTTAAACATGGAGGGATGATCTCTGAGAGCCTGTATTCTGCCCCTGGGTTTTAGACAGACGACATGCAGGCCAGGCCCACCCTATTCATCTGGTCCAGAGTGATAAGTCCACTTTCCCAGAATGCCTTGAGGAGCTTCACCATCATGTGAATGGCTGACTCGCTGTTGGACTCCAGAACCATAACGACAGCCTGTGGGCCAGGAATAGGTGCCAGCATCAGTGCGGATACCAATGATCTAAGCAAAGCAGAGGGTCCAGCTTACACAGGCACTGGAACGACTAGAAAAACGATTTCTTGCCAAAACTAAACCAGGCCCTGGTGTAATCCCAGTATAACAGCCATAACTGCAGTGCAAGCCTCCCAGTGCTCCGGGAGGAGATCCGAACCTCGTAGACGAGCTCGTGGTGGAAGTGAGGCACCTCAAGGTGTCCTAAGCATCGCTCCGCCTCAGAGACCTCGCCGGAGACCAGGTACTCCTTCAGGAGAAGGTTCATCTGGGGAGAAACAAACAAACAAACAAAAACAGACAGAGAGACACGCAGTGATGTCAGATGACAGAGAGGAAGCGGGACACACAGGTGGGTTTCTGTGACAGTAACGTACATTTAGCTGGTTCTAAATGCTCCCACCTGCCTGAGTTGCCTACCTTGGTCATTAAACATGCATGCGGTGGTTAAATGACGGCGCTTTTGCCCAGATAAGGAGGAAGAGGAGGAGGATCAGCTCGTCCCCATGTCAGCTAAGGCCAATGGTCCACAGTGCAGCTCTGGTGAGCTGTGTCAGGACACGGATTGCTTCTGGGGGCGGGGCTAACCCCGGCCGCGAGCCCTCTGGGGGCGGGGCTAACCCCGGCCGCGAGCCCTCTGGGGCTTGGGAGCCCACCTCTTTGATGAGGTGCTTGACAGGCCTCTGGCCGCCTCCGACACCCCAGACGTTGTCCAGTCGCACCATCTTTGTCTTCATGGACAGAAGCACCGCGGCCCGGTCCAAGGCAGCCCTGGAGAAGACGAAGACGCCCATGATCACCAAGCCCTGAGCTGCACACCCACATCGACTGAAATCACGACCCCAAGCAGCTGCTGATGCAGACTCCACATGAAGCCCCCCCCCCACCTGGCGTGATCACAGTCCACTTTGCCCTTGTAGCAGCTCAGGAAGTCCATGGGGAGCGCATGGTCCGCGATGGCCCTGGCGATAAACTGACCCAGCATCTGGGGACAGACACCACAGCAGGGGGATAATGCCCAATGCAGTATTACTGAGAACATGGGTCTCTTTGGGACCTGGGGGAGAGGTCCTTACCACCAGGGCCACATGCAAGGTCCACAGTGAATGGAGGGCTTCATGCTACAAATGGGCCGGCACGCGCCGGGGGTCATTTACACAGTTAGCAGGCTCTTCATAAGATCGTTCTGGTCCGTGCCTCGGTTACCTGCGGAGCTTCAGGTGTATCCAGGATGAGGTCCGGCAGGTCCTTCAGCATCTTATCAAAGGCCCGTCCCATCTCAGCCTCCGTCAGGACCTTGCCCACCAAGTCGGAGAGCAGGCGTGACGTCAGCTCCCGGTGGCTTGCCTTGCCCTCTAGGGACAGGGACACAGCCAGCGAGGACACCTCATACTTGTTATGTCCCAGATTAAGTCCCTCCAACAGCATCTGGCATGAGACAGAGTAGCACAGAGCACCTTTACTAAACGCTGGACTAATGCAGTTTAAGCCACGGTAGCTAATAAATATGAAAATGTCAACAGCACATTTCTGCTCCGGAAACTGGATCAGTCACCTTCTCCCAAGAGAGTCTACAAGAAGTGAAGATACCAGAAGCAGGTTAAACTGGCCCTTAGTCATCAAAACATTGAGACCCTTAGAGCAGAAGAACCCACAAAAGGTCTTCCATAGGAGTATTAGCCAGCTACATAGTCACAGTGTTTCCCTGACGGCTTAAATTTGACCCAGAATTTTGCCTGACACTCAAGGCCCAGCTGGGAAGGGAGTCTCACCTGGACCTCAAGCATGTCCCCAAGCTCAAGAAGATGGGGTCTCACCTGGACCTCAAGCGTGTCCCCAAGCTCAAGAAGATGGGGTCTCACCTGGACCTCAAGCGTGTCCNTGTCCCCAAGCTCAAGAAGATGGGGTCTCACCTGGACCTCAAGCGTGTCCCCAAGCTCAAGAAGATGGGGTCTCACCTGGACCTCAAGCGTGTCCCCAAGCTCAAGAAGATGGGGTCTCACCTGGACCTCGCGCGTGTCCCCATGCTCAAAGTACTCCTGCACGATGGGGCAGACGGTCTTCTCCAGCTCCTGCTCGTCCAGCTCGGGCACCACGGTGGCGTATACGGTGTCCCCCTTCACAGGAAAAGTGGAAGTACACCTCACACATCTGACAGGGGCCATGACACCCACAATCAAGGCGAATGAGCAACTTGATAAGCTCCGTTTATGACTGCATTGCTGCTATTCTCTATCCAGGAGAGAGACATCTCTCTCGGAGCCCGTGTGCGAGGAGCGGGACACTCTCGCTCACGTGCAGCAACACGCAGCACACACACGGAGAACATGCTTCTGGTGATCATGGCGGAGAAAATTCCACTTCTGAACGTTTCGTTATGTTTCATTAGAGGGGGGAAACATGAGCAATCGGTCTAAACATTTAGCAAAAGTCCATTAAATGCACAGAGAACTGCACAGTTTTTGTCTGTCAGCTCGTAGTTGTCTGTCATTGCCCCAGGTATGTTATGTATGCTAGCAGTCCGGAGATCGCACTCAATGTCATAAATTATATTAACATGGATTAATGATTAAAAGTAACCCTTAGCCAAGGGGACTGTTACATGTATGTTCATAAATTCAATCTGAAATGGTCAGATCATCATCTGTCGTTCATAAATTAACAGTTTCAGAGCACGGCAGATTGATTTGGAGGCTATTGGCCAACTAAAGTTACCACACAGTAAAGATACTGTCAAAGAAAAAGTCCTGCATTCAGTTTTTTTACAATGAAAGACTTCAACAATGACATACATGTCAGTCCTTTCAGATGCCCTCCTGTATCACCCTCTGGAAATGTTTGCAAAATGTATTAAAATATTGGAAGGATCCATATGCGACCATTCTAGCAGCTTGGCTAGCTAATGTTAGCTACTAGTTAAATAATAGATAACTAAACGGGCTACGCTAAGGGAAAGCTAATACAATAATCTTGCTTTGTCAAAGCCTTTAAATCAATTTCTTCTTAAAACAATCCTCATTACTATCACAATCTTCATCAGAGGAAGGATTAATTTTATCATCACTGTTGGGAAATGATTGAACTTGTTGCAGAGATTCTTCTGTAGAAAAATGAGTGTGCGCCAAAAACAAACTGCCCAATTCCGAGTGCCGTTTTATGTCATTCTTGGCCGGTGTCACTGCGTGCGGCTTATCTCCACCTCGAATTAACTCGTCGTTGGCATATCAATAGCCACTTGCACTTGGGGGCGTCTACAGTTAAGACGCGATAAGAAAATGCGTTAGCTGATTATTAAAATAAATTTCCTATAAAAGTGGACATATGTGTTTGTTGATAGCTGGTGTATTTGAAAGAAGACACAGTAAGGGTTGTAATATTTTTCTTAAGTCTGTCTGACATAAACAAGCGGAGTTATTTAGGTTGTCGCGCACTTCAGAAAATCCACCTCGAGAGAAAAAAATTAAGCACCACGTAATGATTTGTATGTATTTTACGAAAACAATAATTTATTGTATTTGTGAGATAACATTTTAAAGTAGACAGTAAGGTTGATTATGTATTTTTTGAGCATATTCAACAAGCACTGACAGATATAACGACGTTAGTTTCCCATATTTACAAATATTTTCTAAGTTTAGGCCTCGGTGCCTTAGTCGACTTCGTCGGGGGTTAAATAGGGGCTCTCTTTTTACAGACTGCCGAAAACTGAATAAGTAATATCGCACTTGGGCTGGTCACATACCGCCGATACCCGATCTGTCCGATTAGGTATGGCTCAGTGCTCCTCTAACTATAATCTATAATAGCCACTTTCAAAGCAATGTTGCTGCAGTTTGCAACTCAAGAATGTTAATTTATGTACTGTATGTATGAGAAAGAGCGATGTCAGTTCTGTTCCTAATTTGTCTCTTTTTTCTCTTAAATTACAAATAGTACCGATAACGTACCGGACCGATAAGCAGTATCGGTAAGAGTAGTAGTACCATTAAAATCTTAACGGTACTCATTCCAAGTCAGGAAACCGGGGAAGCCGACTTGACACCAGGCAGCTTCCATCCTCTGTTGAAATCACCCAGAATCCAGCAGGCCTTAATGGGGGCTTGAGCAAGCAAAGGACTCGGTGGGGTGCCTATGCAAAGCGGGGGACCCACAGGGAACGGGGAAGGAGCGCACTCGCATCACTGCCTTCTGCTGGTGCGGCGTGAAGAAACGCTACTCTGATAGCTCAGGAGGGAACCCCCGCCTCAGGGAACCCCCGCCTCAGGGAACCCCCGCCTCAGGGAACCCCCGCCTCAGGGAACCCCCGCCTCAGGGAACCCCCGCCTCAGGGAACCCCCGCGACAAGAGCAATGAGTAACCCGCCAGGCAGGACTAAGGACCCAGCACACCCAAGAAAATGGGTCAAAGAGTTACAGCGCGCATCATCTTCGTATGTAATGCCACATGCCATGGCTGCTTCCGGCACTGACCTGGGAGGACTCATCATAGTTGGGATCTTTGGCATCTGGTTCTTCCATTTCATAGACCATCCCAGCAGCTCCCCAGACGCCTTTACCACCAGCACCACCTGTCCAGGAAACCGCACGACCATGTCACAGTAATGTGGTGGAAACCAGAGACAGAGGTAAGATAACTCATCTCACGAATGATGTGAGGAGAGCAGCGGCCTCAGGGAGCGGCCTGAGATTCCCCTTGTTCCCACACGGTTCCCACGTGGTTCCCCGCTGCAGCTTACGGTACCTTTCTTGGGCAGACCCCGACCCTTGCCCATCCTGGACTTGCGGTCGTTGGTACTGACTCTGCCCTTGGGGCTGGTGGGGTCGACCCCCGCGTCCCCGCCCGTTTCAGACAGCGACTCGCGGGTGGAATCTCGGGAGGAGGTCCGCCGTAGGCGCCTCCTGGCTTTGGCCTTCAGTCGAGCCTCGTGGAGCGCCTTCTCCTGCGGGGTCCAGTTTCCATTCACTTCTGCCTCATCCAGCAGGTCATCATTGTCGCCATAGGACTCGTCCACAGCCTCTGAAGGTAAAGTTCCTGCAAACAGGCACTCAGACTAAGAGACAACGTTCACTGCAGCACCAGAGGGGTGGGCAGGGAGGCAGGAACTAGCAGTAAATCAATAAATGGAAAATTGCACCAACAACACAAAGGACATGGGTTCAAATCTAGAGGTCGACCGATATATCGGCCGGCCGATAT